GTACCAGCAGCACCTCCAGGACCTCCATCAGCACCAGCGCCAGTAGTACCTCCAGCAGCAGGGCCTCCAGCTGGCGGTACCTCAACACCAGGAGCTCCACTCCTGAGGCTGCAGCGCCGAGCGTACCACTCACGTAGCCGCTGAGGGGAGGGAGGCTCTGGCTGCGGCACTGCACCTGCGAGGCCGCCAGCCCCGACTCCCGCAGACCCCCCAGCTCCAGTAGTCCCACGACGGAGGCTATAGCGCTGGGAGTACCACTCACGCAGCTGCTGTGAAGAGGGAGCGCCACCAGGCTCAGCACCCCCAGTCTCAGCACCCCAAGTCTCAGCACCCCCAGGCTCAGCACCCCCAGTCGCAGCACCTCTAGGCTCAGCACCCAAAGTCTCCACACCCCCAGGCTCAGCACCCCCAGTCTCCGCACCCCCAGGCTCAGCACCCCTAGTCTCAGTGCCCCCAGACCCAGCACCACCAGGCTCAGCACACTCAGTACCTCGCGCAGGACCAGAGTCAATAGCTACCTCGACAGGCTCGACCAGGTCTACCTGGGAAACACCTGAGGGAGCAGCACCCTGGGGAGGGAGGGGGTCTACCGACGGGACACCTGGGGTGAGGAAGAGCGGTGGGGGGGGGAGCGGGGCAGTGCGGTAGGGGAAGAGACGGTAAAAGGGTACCGACTCGTCAAAGGTGACGTCCTGAGAGGCGAAGACACGGCGCGAGGTGGGGTGGTAAAACCGCCAACCAGGCGCGTGAGGGACAAAGCCAAGGAAGACACAGGGAACCGCACGGGAGGAGAGTTTGTCCGCGGACGTATCGCGGACAAAGGCTCGACATCCCCAGACTCGGAACACCGACGCGTCGCCAACCTCCCCCGTCCAACGCAGGGTAGGCGAGGTCTCCGGAACAGAGACACGGGGCCAGAGGTTGAGCTGATGCGCGGCGTACTGCACTGCAAACGGCCACAGGAAATGGGGGGCAGCCGCATGGATCATGGAGGTACGAGCGACCTCCATGACAAGACCAATGCGGCGCTCAGCAACCCCATTCTGCTGCGGAGAGGCCGGGAGAGTGAACGTTTGGCGGATGCCGTGCTCCGCACAGTAGGCTGCCAGGAGGTCAGAGGAAAACTCGCCACCTCTGTCAGAGTGCAGACGTAGGACAGGAAAGTCCGAGTGGAACCGCGGGCGGAGCTGGAGACGAGCAGCGCGGATCCAGGGGATCAAGACATCAGGGACCTCACCCTTGGTACGCAAGGGGAAGACCGTGGTGTAGCGCGTGTAGTCGTCGACGACCAGCAGAAAGTACCGCTCGTGGCCCTGTCCCCGGACGCGGGCGGGGCCCCACACGTCCAGGTGGAGAGTCTGCAGGGGAGCCTCTGTGGGAGGGAACGAGGAGGAGTGAGGAGCGGCGCGCTGCCGCCCCTCGACATAGGGAAGACAAGGAGGAGCAGGCGAGGGTGGTAGGGGAGGGAGAACTCTGGGAAGATCAGAGACAAGGTACCTGGAGTGCATGCCACGAAGGCGCTGCAATAACGGGTGACCAAGGCGGTGGTGCCAGAGGACAGTCCTGTGCGACAGGGAGCGACACGAGCAGGGGGCCGACAGCTGACCTAACGCAAACGCAGACGCAGCTACCTGAGGGGACTCAGTGGTCAGTGTGTACAAGTCCGACCCCGGCTGCCGAGTGAAGGTAGCCAGGTGACGACCCGTCCGGGCACACGTGTAGTGCGTCACACGCTCGTAGGCCAGGGTGAACTGGTGAACACCCGCGTCCTGGAGCGCGGAACCCGCCACCAAGTTCGTAGAGAACGAGGGGAGGTAGAGGCCCGACAGCGTGCCAGACGGGACAGCAGGACAAGGGAGGGCAGTGGTGGAGGTCGCAAGGACCGGACCCCTGGAGGGGTCAGCCAGGGAGGCAGCAACCGGTCTAGGGAGCTGCTCTAGGGCAGTGCGGTCACGAAAGAAACAGCAGGAAGCACCTGAGTCCAGTGTGAAGGTGTGCAGTGCCTCAGTAGGTGCAGTACTAGAAGACGCAGACGCACTAGCACCTAGGGCAGCAGCCTCACCAGGATTTGGAGCAGTAGACGCACTAGCACCTAGAGCTGCAGCCTCACCGGTCCCAATACCTGGGTCGGGCGGTACACTCAGGTAACAGTCACCCTCAACACTAATAGTCAATGCATACATAGCAGCAAGGATAGCATCATAATCAAGAGCAAAGATATCAGTTCCCTTCTTAAGCAGATCAGCCCAACAGGGCAGCTCAGAGGCGTCAGGGAAACTGCGCGCGCCAGGCGTCATCAGGGCGAAAGAAACAGCGCTGCGCCGTGTGAAACTATCCACAAGTCTGGCCAGTGCGGTCACCTGTGCGGATGACGTACGGGCAGGTACCTCCACCCCCAGACCCCCCACGTTTAGAGTACCACTCACGGAGCTGCTGGGGCGAGGGAGTCTCGCCGGGACGCTGCTGCTGCTGCCTCTGGCCACCGCCAAACCCCCCACGTTGCACCGCTCCACCGCGCCCGCCACCCGCTCCACCGCCGCCACCACTGCCACCACCGCCCCCACCACCCCCACCACCTCCGCCGCCACTGCCCCCTGTGCCGCTACTGACCCCCCCACCACCCGCGCCACTCCCACCTCCGCCACCACCCCCGCCCCCCCCACCCCCTCCACCGCCGCCGCCCCCGCCTCCACCTCCACCACCCCTGCCCCTCTTGCCCCTGCCGCCCTTGCGCCTCCCACTAGGAGCAGACGCGGCCCTGACCCCCTCAGCTCCGAGGAAGTCGACAGCAGCAGCAGATGCAATGGAGGGGAGGAGGGGGGAGGGGGAGCACCCCTCAAAGAAGGGGGTGCGGGGGTCACCACGAGAGGCACCTACAGCTACAATGCTCTTCTCAGCTGCTAGGAGTTCCTTCTCGAGGAGGTCGACAGTGAGGTCAGTCGGGGAGAGGGCAAGAAACTGGTCCCTGACTGTGCGAAGGGAGTCAGGGAGGCGGGTGACAAGGTGGTATAGTGTGAGGTACATCGGGGGAGGGTTCTTGGCGAGGAAATCTGGGGGGAGCGCGGCACGGTAGCGGAGGTCACTGGTACGGAGGTGGGTGATGAGGTCAGCTACAGTGGCAAAGGCAGACAGGTCGGGGAAGAGGTAGGGCAGTGAGAGACGGCCTATAGCAGCAGTGGCAGGGGAGGAGTTGCGCGCGACTACTGCGTCGTACAGCTCCTTAGCGGTCTTATGCTGGCCGAAGTGCTCGCGCTCATCTAACGGCAGGTGGCTGCGAACGGCTAGGCGGGCGTGAGCATCACGTGTCTGCCACTGGGAGCGAGCAGTACTGTCAGCAGTAGCGGGATGTGCGAGAGCAGCGCCTGACGTGTGGTCATACAGGGAGACATCGTCCTTGGCAGTGATCTGGAGGAACAGGTGGAGGTCATCTAACCAAACTTCAAACTTAATCGGGCGGCCCTCAGCGTCAAAGGTGAGAATAGAGGGAGTGGCCATAGTGGCAGCAGTAGTAGTAGGAACAGTAGCAGTAGCAGCAGTAGTACGACAGGAACAGGAACAGGAGTTGCTGCAGGTGGGGCACAGTAGGGCGGCGCGGCTCAGGTCGGGCGGCGCGGCTCGGTTCGGGCGGCGCGGCTCGGTTCGGGCGGCGCGGCTCGGTTCGGGCGGCGCGGCTCGGCTCGGGCTGGGCTACGCGGCGGTGCGCGACGAGGGGCGTGCGCGTGGGCGGCTGTAGCGGGCAGGCCGCGGCTGTGCGTGGGCCTGACTAGCGCGCGGGCGGCGGCCTAGAGGAGCGTCGCGGCGGCCTACGGGCGGGGCTGCAACGCTCTGGGCGCGCTGGCTGCGACCTGGGGGCGGGCGGCTGAGGGTCGCGCGTCGGCCTAGGGGCGAGCGGGGCCTACGGGCGACGGCCTGCTGGGGCTCGCGAGAAAAAATCGGGCCACCCTAAGCGGCGGTTTTCCTACGCGCGCTAAAACGGTCGGGCCGCGCTCGGGCTGCTAGCGCGCTACACACGGGCAGCGTGAGAGGAGAGCGCACGAGGGCGCACTAGGGGAGAGGCGCACGAGGGCGCTAAAAAAAAGGGCGCACGAGGGCACCTCTAGCGGAACGGTGGGCCCTTAGGTCTAGAACCTAAGTTCTTAATACCATGTTAGAATCCAGAAGTGATTGAACTATGAAACATTGGAGTACAAGTATGAAACCCTAGAGTTGTGTACCCCTTAAAGGCTAACCCACTACAGCCTACACAGCAATAACACATATATAATGTTTGACAGCCCGAGCCTCGCTTCCAGCGTAGCACTAGCTAGCTCGCACGCACCGCGTTACCGTTGCATGTTTCGCGTATAAATGTTCGCTCATGCCTTCGCTCACATTTTGTACTCGTTTGACACCTTAGTGCAATTCTCGCTACTTCGATCCATTGCACCCGTAACAACAACCCAACCCAAACCTAGCTTGTAGTTTTGGCAAGTGTGCATGCACTTTGTATGAACCCAACAACCGTTTCTCACACACAACTTGGATTACCAAGCGCATCTAGACCCTAGAAGCCGCGATCCAAGAAGCTGTGATCTGTGGTGCACCTCCCCTGACTAGAACCACCCCGTTAATTATATTTTTGCATAAAATCCTTATTTATTATTTGAGTACAGTACCAATTGATAACAGCATTATATTTCATTCTCAGCAAACTGCCTATTTTGGCCATTGACTTGAATCAGTTGGAAATTTGCCATACTAATTGCATTGCAGGGTTTGTGAAAGTAAACCCCCGAAACACAAGAGCGCCTTCGAAATAGCCCTTGTTGGAACTCTCAACCATTCACTCTTCAGTTTCTGATCAGTGTGCTTGCACTCAGCAAGCGTGGGATTTTCTCTCTTCCTTCCCTCAGAACTTCCACGCTCAAGTCATGGTTACCACAATTCAGTGACTGGGAGGCCATGGAGCAGCAAGCAACGCTCATCTCGATAGAATTTGCTATACTCGCCATCAATTTCGGATGTGGCCACCCGCGGGAAGGTGTGAATGGCCACCCATGATGGAGGGTGATGGGGCGCAGGGCGGATGGCGGGGTTTTACCGTAAACTCGCGATATTACCGGGATTTTTATTCTGTGCGCGCGCGTGCGCTGGTGTGGGTGGCGGCTATTGCGCTTCTTGCGCACGTCTGTAGCGCAGTTCGACTACAAGCGTCCCAAGGTGGGGGATTGCGGAGTGATGCTGTGCGGTAACCTGCGTTGTGTGAATTCAGCCAGCATCGCGGCGCTTCCGCGTCCCACCCCATCCTTTTATGGCAAACGTTGCCATTCCGTGATTCCTCGGCTGTGCATTGCGCGTGTCCGTGCTCTCTGCGCTGTCTGCCGTTCTTCCCGCGTTGCTCGCGTTGCCCGCAAATCCAGTAGTACGTGTCCGCAATTGTCCGCAATTGCTCGCAGTTTCCCGCAAATGTCCGCAATTCCCCGCGTTACCCGCGTTTTCGTGGCAGCGGCAGTGCTGCAGGAGTGTGCGGTGGCGTGGAACAGAACCTTCAGCGGGTGGACGGCAGGCGGGGACTGCTGGCTAGCTGAGAAGATCGAGTGCGACGCAAAGGGAATGGTCACCAGCCTGGGAGACGCACTGTTTAGTATCCGCGCCCGCTGCCCGCTGACCGCTGCCCGCTGCCTGCTGCCTGCTGCCTGCTGTGGCCTGTATGTTTGTGCGCTGTGTCACGCTGCGTGCTGTAAGCGGTGCTGCGATTTTCTGCTTCCATTTGGCGTCCTTGACAACCGTTCCTTGCAACTGCTTGCCACCTGCTTCTCTTGAGCTCCTACCCTTCCATCCCCCTTCCTCTTTCTCTCTCACTCATCCCACCCCCGCCACACACACCACATACACACACAAGCCCGCTCTACATCGTTTAGAATAGAACAACCTGTCTTCCATCTCTTTGAAAGTTCTCAGAAGCAAACACGTTTTGTCCTCTGCCGACCCTTCCCGCCCCCCACCCCACCATGGCTGCAGGCTGTTCTCGGGTTGAAATATGAACGGAACCGTCCCCACCAGCATCGCCAGCCTCACCGCACTCACTTCCTTGTGCGTGTCACAGTGCCCCCCCCCTCTCCTCGTGATTTTACTGTTGGGACACTTCATAATTGAGAGATAACTGTTGGGTTGAGAGACGACTTTTGAGGCGCCTGAAAAACACTCATTTACTTGTGTAATTACTTGTATGTTGTCTGTTGTCTGAAAGTGTAGATCCACTTTCAGGTAATCTCAATTACTTCAGCTTTAGATCTACACAGTTTTGCTCTCTTTGCCCTCTGCCTTCTGCCCTCTGCCTTCTGCCCTCTGCCCTTCCTGTAGTGACCTCTCTATGAATAATCTCTCTGGGTCCATTCCCTCTTTCATCTCGCGACTCTCTCAACTCTTTTACCTGTAAGCATCTCTCTGCACCAGGGTAAAAAAAAAAACGGCCGTCTTTTTGAAAATTTACCATAAGAACGGCATCGTAAAAAACGGTCGTAAAAAACGGTTAAAACGGTTCCAGGAGGTGTTTCCTGTTTAACTAACAAAACGGCCACTTAGTGGGACCAATTTGAACCCGAAATGCAGCAGCATGAAGGGGACGGACCCCTTCTTGCATGTATGCGCTTGTTGGCATGATTGAAAATGTTTTCGACCTGTTTTTCTCTTTTTTCTCTTGGTGAACAGAATTCTCTAAGGTCGTATCTCCAGCAAGTGTCAAGAAAGGCTTGGTGTCAAGCGTTGTTTACGGTTGACACCAAGTGGAGCCGTGTGTGAGCGCGGCTCCAGCCTGGTGTCAATGTTGGGCACATTGGATGATTTCCCGCGATCTCATTGGTTGGTTTAGCTGACACCAGGAGGGATAGTCCTCCATGTTTTTTCGAGTTGGTGTCATGACACTAGCCCCTCTTGACACTTGCTGGAGATACGACCTTACAAAAAAACGGCCGTTTTTTTTTTTTTTATCACCGGAAAAAACGGACCGTATTTTACGGAAACCGTAATTTTGATCCTTGCTCTGCACCCCTCAAGGTCTCTTCAGAAACAAAAGTGTTAAGGCTGCCGAAATGTTCTATGAACTCTTAAAGCTAGATGCTGACATATTTGTCCCGCTTCGTTTTGTGATGCCCCCCTTATGTTTAGAATAGAAAAGCTGCTGCTTCTAGCCTGCTACAGTCATCCATGCCACATGGCACATGTCTAACGTTTTATGTCATGTGCCGCATACATGTCACATCATGACTCACCCATGGCAGGAACATTGAAGACAACAGTTTCTTCGAGCCCATTCCCTCCACCATCGGGGCTCTCAAGAACCTCAAAACCCTGTAACTGTGCATGTGTGCTGCCATACATGCATGCAATGAATGAACAGCTAAAGAGTCAAGGATCTGCTCACCACCTCTGCCTTGTGCATTCATTCCATAGCACATGCATTCTACTCTGGCTGTTCTCGCATGCCATGCAACTCTCTCTATCGCCTCCCCATTCGCCCTCCCCATTCACATTTGCTTCTCTCGTCCGTCTTCCATTCCTCCAACCCCTCTTCTCTCCACGTTCCACACCCCTCCTCACCATTCACCAGGATGTTAGCAAATACTGGCTTTTCAGGAACCATCCCCTCCACCATCTCCGGCCTCTCCGCTCTTACCGTCTTGTCTGTGCCCTCCCTCTCTCCCATCTCTGCCGTGACTGTTGTTTCGTGTTGTGCTTCAACCTGCTTAAGGGTTCTGCTGTGCTCACTGACATGTCTATTGGCCTGCCTTTTTTTTTTCTGTTCACTGAAACATTCCTTTCCGATATGTGAGGCACATTTGCCATGCTGCCATGCTGCTACCGCACTGCCATTGTGACGCCTCGTATGTTTCAATCAAGATGAACTGATAATGTCTGCCCCTCCCACTTCCCTCTGCATACTACCACCGTGGGTCCACGTGGGAATGCGACCACGCGGCAATGCGTCCACGTGGCAATGCGTCCACATGGCAATACGTCCACGTGGCAATGCGTCCACGTGGCAATGAACTCGCATCAGCCGATTGTCCAACACTCACCTCAGTGGCACAATCCCGAGTACTATTGGTCGGCTTGCCAGCCTCGAGTACATGTATGTGGTGCTGGGTTGTGAGTATGAGAGGCCTGTCACACACACATGCATGCACGCATACAAGCATGCACGCATACATGCATGCAGGCACACGTTCGCGCGCACCACTCACACACACGCTTGCATGCAACCATGCACACACACATGCGTGTGCAGACGCATACTAGCACGCACGCACACACACAAGCACACACGTATGCGTATGGCCTTTGAGCCACCTCACTCTCTTCTGCTCAAGCACATCCTCCTCCTCCATCTGTCGTAACAACTAATGAACTTTTGACGTTCTCTTTTCAGAAACACAAACCTATTTCCACAGTTAGAATGGTGATCATGATCCGCACAAAGCTGCAATCCTGACTCATCCTCACCCCACCTACTCTTCCCAACTGCCTGTCCTGTTCCTACACATCTCACAACTGCCCTATCGCAGGACCATCGCCAACACCAACTTGTCTGGCTCGCTGCCAGCCTCCCTTGGTGCTCTCCCCAAACTCAACAAAGTGTCAGACCCATGCGTTCCCTCTCACCCTGCATTCCCTCTCATCCTGATGTGTGTGCGTTCACGTCTGTGTGTGAGTGGATGTGCATGTGTTCACGTCCGTGTGCATGTGTGTGTGTTCTCGTGATTCAACGTTGACTTACATCAACGTTCCAACCCCCTGCGTCCATCCCACACGGCTCAGTGTCTCAAAATCATGCTTGCGGAAACGCCACACTTTGTCCCCCTTGTACCACAATGGGCTGAACAAACCCACAGGCGCACATTTGTGCGACAAGTATGATGCGCATGAAAACGCATGATAGAAGCTGCACAACTTTTGTCACTCGCCTTGCTCTTTCTTCTTTCCTCACCAGCACTCCACATCCTCCTGCCCTGCTCCCATGTCATCTTCCTCTTCAGATTCACCAATGCAGGGGTGACATGCGGCAGGGCTGGCAGCAGCTGTGAGATTCAGCAGAACGCCTCCTCCTTCTTCTGCCGGGTCCTCTGCTTTGAGTTCTGTGCCTCCTGCATCCCTCTCAACGGTGAAGAAATAGATTCTTTACCTTTCTTCTCACATGTGTGACAATTAGAAATGGCCGCTTTGCCTTTCTGAGGATTTTTTTTTAGAATTCCCAAAAAACCATACTCGGTGTTTGTTGTTCGTGAAGCTATCTGATGGTTATCTAACCTTCCAATAGTCGATTTGCCATCTGACAGTCGTCACGGCTCTCCAGTCTCCAGCACAGTTGCTCCTCTCCCCCTCCACAATCCATCCACACCCCATTTCCCTCCCCCCCTTTCTTCTAACAGGCCAACGCTGCCACCCTCCTCCCCCTCCTCCCTTCTCACCTCCTCTCCCTCCCAGCCTCGCTCTCATGAGCCCCCCTCCTCCTCCTCCTCCTCCTCCTCCTCCTCCTCCTCCTCCTCCTCCTCCTCCTCTGTCTGTCATCTCCTCTCCACTCGCCCCTCCTCCTGCTCCACCACCCTCCACCGGTTTGCCAACCTCTGCAATCGTGGGAATATCTGTGGGAGCGTTTTTTCTTGTGGCTGCTGCTGTTGTGGCGGCTGCATATGTGCACCGGGCAGCCCAAGGATCGAAGCTACAGCCTCTAGCTGCCACAGGTAAGAGCAAAGTTAAGTGTTGTTGGCTCGCACTTAGGGGTATGTATGTGCCACTTGTGGTGCCTCAGCCATGCCATGTCAGCACGCTGTCTGTCTGGCGGCCATTCGTTCTGCTTTTCTCTTCGAGACATACGTCGTTCATTCTTCCTTTCTCCCTATCAACAGCGCGTTGCTGTCGCCACTGCTGCCAACCCTTCCGCTGCTGCTGCTGCTTCTACCCTCCTCTGCTCTGAGCAGTGCCATCATACTGCTCCGCTCCTCTGCTCTGAGCAGTGCCATCATACTGCTCTGCTCCTTATTCCATGCGTGTCACCGTGGTTATCATTCGTCCCACGTACTGCTGCCCTTGCACCCACAGCTGCTGCCAGCCACCATCATCGTTTTCACTGTTGTCTCCTCACCCACCTCTCACCCACTCTCACCCACCTCTCACCCACCTCTCACCCACTCTCACCCACCTCTCACCCAATACTCACTCACCTCTCAGCCTAACTCTCACCAACCTCTCGCCATCTATCTCACCATCAACTTCTCCAATCGATTTCCCTCCTCCCCTCGCCCCCTTCTCTCATCTCTCTTCTCCCCCCCTCTCCTTTCTCCACTTCAGCAACTCGTGTCTTCAGCAGTCGCTCCTGCTGTCCCAAGTTCCCCGTGTCTCTCGTGGCACAAGCAACGGGTGGGTGGAGTGACGATAGCAGGGTGCAGGGGCAGGGGTGGAGCAGCAGCAGCAGTGGAGGGCAGAGGTACAAGGCACTGAGTCTTGTGAATGAGCGCCAGGTGTGGTTCGTGGTGAGGCGCAGTAACGAGGAGCTTTCCGCCAACTTCCAGAAAGAGGTGAGAGAGCTGTGGGTAGCTCTCCACTGCTGCTGCTGCTGCTGCTGCTGCTGGCGTAGTTACCACCATTGCCGCTGCAGCCATATTCATGCCAACGCTAGCTAGTACTGTGTTGTGCCCCTTGCTTTTTGGCCCCTTGCATTTTGGTACATGTTGTGCCCCTCGAATTCTTCCTTCCCTGCCCAGGTGGCCAAGCTTTGGTCCATCCGCCATACCAACGTGCAGCAACTGCTGGGGCATTGCTGGGAGAAGCGTGACACTGTTTCACCTGCTGCTCCTACTGCTCCTGCTGCTGCTGCTCGTGTTGGTGGTGGTGGTGCCAAGAATCCAGTTGATGCTAGTGCTGATGGTGCTAAGGGAACTAGTGCTGAAAATTCCAGTGTTGCTGATCATGCGGTGGAGCAAGCAGAGGAGCAGGTGCTAGTGTTTGAGTGGGTGCCAGGAGGCAATCTGCACAGCCGCCTCGTTGCAGGTACGTCCACTCGTGGTCCCTCTCCCACCGCATTCTCCTTCACCTCTGCTCCTCTCTGCCCCCATCCTCCTCCGGATCACCACTTACTTCCTCCCCAATCTGCCGTGCAGAGGGCGGCACCCCTCTGTCGGTGTGGCAGTGCCTGGATGTGACCGCGGGTGTGCTGCGAGGGCTGAAGCACATCCAGAGCCATGGGGTCGTGCATGGCCGCATACACCCACGCAACATCCTGCTTGACACAGCCCTGCAGCCGGTCCTGGCTGGTTGCATGGCCGTGAAAATGGGCGACCCGCTTCCACACATCCCCACAGCACCACCGGCCCTAGCAACAGTACCAGCAGCCTCAGCATCAATACCATCACCATCACCATCACCAGCACCAGCACCAGCACCAGCACCAGCACCAGCACCAGCACCAGCACCAGCACCAGCACCAGCACCAGAACCAGCACCAGCACCAGCACCAGCACCAGCACCAGCACCAGCACCAGCACCAGCACCGGCACCGGCACGGCCGTCTGCCAAACATGCATACATGGACCCAATCCTGCACGCCTCTGCTCGCGCCACGCCCTCCATGGACGTTTTCAGGTCCGTTCGTGCTGCTCAACTCAACTCCTGACACGCCTCAACAATCCTGTTGCCCAGCAAGACTTCTGCCCTCACTCCCCGTTCCCTCTCCCCGCCTCCTTCTCTCAAATGGTCCTTTGTATTAATTCAGCAGGGGGAAAAGACATGCAATTTGACTCGTGGTTCCCTTATACCTTCCGACCCATCAACCCATCCCTCTGACCCTCCCCCCCCCCCCCCTTAGTGCCCCTCTAACCCTCCAGCGTGTGGAGGATGTCCCCTAGGTGCAGCGGCCATGGGTCCGCTGCCATCTGGGGGTGCGCTGCCTCAATCCCCGCCCTGGCCTTGGTGTGCAGGGCATTCGCCTGGGAGCGCTGGAGGGCCACTGACCAGCGCTGGCTGAAGTGGCAGGCCATCTTCTTGGCCGATTTCGCCAGGGGGTTGGCCCTGAACCGGTTCCTAGCTGCTGCTGTGGCCAGCAGCTTCAGGAACGCCGTCGTGGGGGGCGCGTTTGCCCCATAGGTCTCGACGGCCAGGGCGCAGAACACCACGTGTTCTGTGTGCCGGTAGTAATCCCTTTCCTTCCGCTTCTGAGCCTCCCTTGCAGCCCAGCCTGGGGGTTTGCGGGCTGTGGGGTCCCGGTTCTGTAGCACAGGGTCGGTGATAGTCGTGTCTGTGATCCAGGTCTCTCCACTGTCTGGGTCACGCACGATCACGTCGGCCTTCTTCGGGTCATCCGGTGGTGAGTACATTGCATTCTCCAGGTATACCACCAGCTGCGCCTCCCTCGCCATTTTTGCCACGGCAAAGGCCAGTTGGTTGTGTGTGCGCGTTCTGTCCGGGCCTGTGCTGCAGCGGAGTAGGTGGTTGGGTAGGCTGCAGTCGGCCACGAGCTCTCCACACTCGCACACGGTAGGTACGTTCTGTCGGATGCCCATGCGGAAGGCCAGGGCTGTTCGGAATTGCCCTGGTGAGAAGCAGAGGTCTGGGGTCAGGGGTAGGGCTTGCAGCCATGCTCCCGCTCCCTCGCCTCTCAGGCTGACGAGGCGGAGCGTGTGGCCCATCTCGGGGGCTGACCTGATTGAGCGTGATTCCTCTGTCAGGGTGTCGGCCTTTGCCGCGTGCACTTCCTGAGAGAGGGCCCGCTGCAGCTGGTCTTGGGACGGGGTTTCTTGCTCCTCACGGAGGTATTGCAGCGCCAGCGGCGGCAGACGTCCCTCCATGTCTTGGATGGTGACTGAGTGTGCCGCAGACGATTGCAGGGCGTTGCTGTTGCTCCCTAGCGCCGCGGTTGCTGGCAGGTCGAGTGAGCGGAGCAGGCGTAGTGCCTCTGTCGTTGAGGCCAGGTAGGCTGGTGCTGCTTCTGTTGTGGGATCCGTGAGGCCCAGTCCACCTAGGGCCACTGGGAGGGTTGCTTGGTGGATGAGAAAATTGAACTCGGCTTCGCGGCGGGGTGGTTGGATGCTGGCGGCAGTCAGGGCGGTGTTGAGCGGTTCGGCGCACCACGCGTGCCATTCCGAGAGGGGAAGGACGTCCGCTGGGGTGGTGCACAGCAAGTAGCCAATTCTGCGGCTGATGCAGCGGGACAGGAGCAGGAGGGCATGCTGTGGATGGATGGATGCTAGGGAGCCCAGGGGTGCCGCCGCGTCTGTCAGAGTACTGCGGACCAGGTCAGCGCAGAAGCGCTGTGACCCCACGGGACTTCCCAACACCCGTACCCCCTCGTGGGTGAGTGGGAGGCCCTCGGGGAGCTCGTCACCCTCAAGCGGCGTCGTGGACCACGCCGACGATTTTCTGAGGTTGCAGGTGAGGCCATCCTGGGCGAGCAGCGGCGTCAGTAACTTAAGCGCGCCGAGCGTTGCTGTCGCCGGTCCTTCTCTCACTCTCTAATGGTCCTTGTATTCATATAGCAGCAAGGTACAAGCATACAAGTTATAGAGAGAGTGAATAGGCAATCAGATAAGCCTCTCTCTCTCTAATGGCCCTTTCATTGATAGTCAAAGCGTACAGACATGCAAGGTATAAGTCATCGCAAAAGGTGGGGCTAGTACTGCCTATACTTCCTACTCATCCTGCTCTGCACCCTCTAAGTGAGATCCAGTGTTGGATCAGTGATGGATCAAGAACCGCGAGGCAGTACCCAAGGGACGGGGCCTCACCCACTGCTTCTAGTAGCGGGTTTTCAACTGCTGCTGCTATGTTGCACTTTTCCAGGTACCCAATCGATTGCCCACGTTGAAGAGCCACTGACCACCGCTGCCGGTATTGGTGTAAGAGCTTGGCAGCTTGGTAGGAGGTGGGCTCGGCGTTGAAAAACCGCCGTGCAGCCGTTTCTGCGAGTAGTTTCAGGAAGTCTACTGACTCTGGGCAGGGACACCCGTATGTCTCGACCGCTAGTGGGAAGAACTTCACCCACTCTGGGCGGTCCTTGTAAAGGCCGTGTTTCTTATCTGCTGCCTCCCGTGCCGCCCACCCCCTCCCCTTGGTGGCGTTCTCATCGCGGGTGCTGATGGGGTCTGTTATCGTCACATCGCAGATGTAGACGGCGCCAGTGGAGCGGCAGCGTAAGGCCAGGTCTGCCTTCTTCTCCTCCACTGGGCTGAAGGCGGCCGTCTCGATGTGCACCATGAAGCCTGCATCTTGCGCCATCCGCGCGCACTCATCTCTGAGTTCATTGTGTGTGTTTGTGCGCCCCCCCCCTGTTCCGCATCGTAGCAGGTGATTCGGGAGCCGCTTATCTGGGATCTCCACCTTCTTGGAGCAGTTGCAAACCCCTGGAGCCGCAAAGGGGAGCCCCAGCCGAAACTGAAGCGCGTTGGCATAGTGGGGAGCCTCAAGGCGGAGCGAGGAGTGGATGGGCACTGCGTTTAACCAATCCCCCGCCCCATACCCTGACAGGGACAGCATCCGCTGCGTGTGACCGTTGGTGGGGTTCAGGCTCATCCCCCACACCTCCTCCACCTGCACGGCATAGCGCTGGCCCTGAATAGCCGTGGCCAACCCGTGCTGTAGTTTCCCTGCTGTTGGAGCCGATCTCTCAGCCTGAAGAGCTTCTTGGGCTGGAAGCGGCAGTTCCCCTTCACATTCCGCAAGCCATTCGGACAAGGGGGAGGACTCGGTGTAGGGGCCACGCATCAGCTCACGCGTGACTCCCAGTGGGCCAGTGCACTCGCTGTCCAGGGAGTCAAGCAGCAGCTGCGCCTGCGTGTAGCTGGCGAGGAAGCTGAAGCTTCCCTCTACTGATGGGTCCGTCAACCCAAGGCCACCGAGCAATACGGGGAGTGAGGCTTGCGCCCACGTGCGTGAAATCTCCTCGTCCCCACGAGGGTGGTTGATGGCGCATGCTGTTAGTAGTGTTTCCAGCAGCCTCCGTCCCCACTCAGACCACTCCTCCTTTGGCAGGAAAGGCAGTGGGGTTGTGCGGGCTAGGTATGACACTCGGCGGGAGATACACCGGGAAAGCAGCAGTCCCGCCAGCTGTGGCCCCATCCGCTCAATCAATCCCAGCGGTGCTCCCATCGCCTCCAGGCTGGACCGTATGAAGCCAGTGGTTGCCGTGGAGGTGCCAAAGTAGCTGCCCAGCACCTTCAATCCGTCACTGCTGGGAGGGACCCCCTCTGGCAGGCGGTAGTCCGTGGGCGTCCTGCCTGCCCAAGCCCCGCACTTGGCAGGATTGTGGCTGAGCCCGATTTCTGCCAAGCGGCCCGTGAAGTGTGTAAAAGCAGCTGCACATGACGACGGTTCTCCCAGGAAGGTCACGGCGTCCGCGTAGGCCAGGCAGATGACCTCGGGGTGAGCCTCCGCTGCTGCTCTCAAAGCTGGTTGCATGGCCGCGGCAAAAAGAAGGGGGCCGAGGGGATCTCCCTGGCGGACCCCTGTTTCACTGAGCAGGGGTGGGTGGGCGAAGGCTGCATCCAGATGCAGCGTGGAGGGTTGGCCGTACGAGAAATGCACCAACGGCAGCAGCGGTTCTAGCTGCGATCCTTTCAAGGCCGTCGCTATGGCGTGGCGGCTGACACTATTGAACGCATTGGCCAGGTCGGCCTGTAACACCAGAGCGTCCTGGTTGGCCGCTGTGTAGGTCCGGACAACATGTATGACTGCTTCTGCTCCTCCTGGCACGGCTACTCCGAACTGTAAAGGTAAGAAGTACTCTCGTGCTGCGTCCGCTACCTGAGTAAGTGCTGCCTTGGCTGCTAAACGCAGGATGCACTCCCCTATGGCAATCGGTCTCGTTCCTCCATCCGGCTTGTCGAGGGCTATCAAGCGCGAGGCTGTAAGAAGCTTCCCTACTTCCTGGTGCAGCTTCCCTCTCAGGATTGTGTTAACCAATGCATGTAGGTGAGAACCGACTGTGGGGTGTATCAGAGCAGCTTCGCGCAGGTGCTCGAATGTTGTCCCTGAGGGACCTGCACCTACCCCATTTTCACATTTCGAGAGGAGCTTCAGGAAAATTTCCCGCGATACCGCCAGGTAAGTGTCTGGGTCGGGCTGGGGCCAAGATGCGTCAGAGTGCGGGGCACTAGGGTGCTTGGCGCGGAGGGATTCCAAAACCGCAGGTGAGGGCTTGCTGACTGGGGTGGCTTCCAGTGCCATGACTGCTCTCCGTAAGCTGCCACGTCGCGCCAAACCCTCTGCCCTGGATATTTTCCCCAGGTCGTCTGGCTGGTGTCTGGGAGGGGGAGGGGAATCCAACGAATCAACCGTCTCCTGGTACAGTGCCTCCCATTCCCCTCGCAGGAATTTACGCAATCTTCCCCTGGTCGCCTATGCATCTTTCCCTGGTCGCCTTCCAGTCCGGGTGCCTCGGCGAATGCTGACACAGCGTCAGGCGAGCCGCAAACAGCAGAATCGTCCAGGCTGGGATGGAGTCTGGGTCGTGTGCTAGTCGTAGCAGTGGTGTCAGCATTACCATAGCGAAAAGTAGGCGCAGCTTTTCTGGCAGGCGACGTGCCAGCGGAGCGTTGCGACTATCGCGCAGCTTATCCAGATTCCAGGTACTGACATTCGCGAATAGTGTGTCGTCCCTGGCGAGGGCTTTGGGCGACTTTTGGGGAGGGGGCTGTGGTTGCTGTTGGTTACCCCTCGCTGCTGTTCGCGGTACATTTGCAGGTGGCGATGTCAGGTTCGGTTGGGCGGGATGGTTGGCAGTGGTGGCAGGGAGGCGGGAAGCGGTTTGAATTTGTGGTGAGGGTCGCGGCTGGGTGGGTGTGTTTCTGAAATTTGTTGACGCGCCTCGGGCATGGGTTGGGTCGATTCCTGTCCCGAGCTGGAGTTTGTGACTGGGCCTCCTCCGAGGCATTCGAATTTGAAGGTGAGTCTGCTTCTTCCTCCTCCGCCGCATAAATGCTACCCGATAGTTCGCCTTTTTCAGTAGTTCTAACTAAATCGTTTAAAGCCCTTCTTGCCGCTGCCTGGAACGCATTCTCCGAACCTCCTTCCCGAGTGCCCCTGCCACGTCCGCGACCTCCGCCTCGACCCCCTCGTGTCCGCGCGCTGGCCGCGGCCAGCAGGGGATTTTCGCGACTATCTATTCCCGCGTTCTGACGCATCCGTGCGTCCTGCAATACCTGCTGCCGACGCGTTCGCCGAGATGGTGACAGAAGCGGCAAGGTCGGTGGTGGACCTAGGTCACACCGCTGAGAGCGTGCTTGCTGCGCCTCCGGCTCCTGCTGCCCCTGCCGCTGAGGCTCCATCTGCTCCCCCGGTTCCCCCTGCCACCGCTGCGCCGTCAACGGCCCGTGTCCAACTGGCGTCTGCTCCCCCGCCAAGCCTCCCACTTCCTCTCGGTGCTCTTGCCCCTGATGCGCCCGCTCCTGTAGCGCCGCAGCCGCCTGCGGCGTCGCCACTTGTCCAAGCTGCTGCCGGCGTCCCTGCGCCGGGGACAGCGGTGGGCGCCGCCCACGACCCCGCGCACCAGGTTGCACTTGCGTCTGCGCCGGTACAGCCCGTCGCGCAGCAGCGCGCGGAGTCCCACAGTCGTGGTGTTGCTGGGGGCAGTGCGGCGGCGCATCGGGGGCGTGGTTCTCCTCGGCGTCGCCCCTCCCCATCGTACCGGAATACGCATCGCGGTGGCCGCGGTGGCTGGTGGGGAGGTCACGGTCGCGGACATGAGGCGCCGAGCGAGATGCAGCAGTTACGCGACGATTTCCCTGGAATGTTGGCCGCGGCGATGCGCGAGGCTCTGAACAGTGCGTCGACTCCTGGTGGCCCGCTGGCTGCTCCCGCTGCAGTGCACGCCTCTGTTCCTGTGGCTGCCCAGGCTCCTCCTGCTCCACACGCGGTTCCAGCGCCGAGTGCTCAGGCGTACCCGCAGGGTCCAGGCCCAGCTGTTGGGCGCGCACCACCACCCGCATCTCGTCCAGGCTCCGCTGCACCGTATCCCCCTCTTCCATGGATTCCCCCCGTTCCGGGCACGGGATTTGTGGGAGCGGGAGGCGGAGAGGCGAGGGGGCCATTCCGCCCTCCGCGTCGCATTGATGAAGTTCCGGCTGTGCCCCCTCCACCGGCTCTTCCCGTTCCCGCTGCGGCGCGGCTGACCGGGACGGCTGAAGTTCCCACGGCGACTCTCGCGCAGCTGTGGCGCTTGGTGGAGTGCCAGCAGGCCCTGACACTGATTCTGGTGAATTCACACTTTGCCATCCTCCGGAACCTAGGGAGCACTCTCGATCCGATGGCGCGAGCTGATTGCTTGGCAGCGGCAGCGCAGTTCGCCTTCCTCCTGCTACCCGTGCTGGGAGCGCCCGCGCCGGGAGGCATTGCGGTAACGCAGCTGGAGCTGACTGTCCAGGATCTGACTGGGCACCTCCGCGAAGGAGGCGCTGTTGAAGCGCTTGGCGCGACCGCATTAGTGGTCCGCCAGATGTGGAGGACCATGCGAGGGATCCTCGCGGCACTTGACGCCCACTTGATGTAGGATTTGACGCCCGCCGCACGTAGACGTGCTGCATCTTGAGTATCTAAGTGTTGCGCATGTTGGCTGCCTCCATTGTGTCTTGTTTGTCTTATGTTCTTTCCAGATTGTTGCTTGCCTCCCAAAAGCACGCGGCCGAAGGCCGCTGGCGCGAGCGCCGCCAAAAACTGGAACGAAATGAACTAATGGGAGAGGAATGACCAGTCAGGCCCCTTATATAGCTAGAGGGCAGGGGCAGAGGCTAGAGGCAGAGGCTAAGTCCTCTCTCTCTCTCTCTCTCTCTCTCTCTCTCTCTCTCTCTCTCTCTCTCTCTCTCTCTCTCTCTCTCTCTCTCTCTCTCTCTCTCACTCTCTGCTGATCCGTTGGATCGGGCTGATTCGAAAGCAGGAAGGAACCATTCTTTCTCCTGCTGACTGCATGTGCTTCCGCCGTTACAAACAGTCAACTCACTGGACCCCCCTTCGCCCTTCTCCACTCCCCCCCACCCCCCCATCCCCAACTGCCAGCGTTGGTGTGGTGATGCTGCAGCTCATCACTGGATGCCCTACATTGATACCCACAGCTGCCGGCACCGACATCAAGGGTGGCGGTAGTAGCAGCAATAGCATCAGCAGCGTCAGCACAAACAGCTACAACAGCAGCAGCAGCGGCAGCAGCATGAGCAGCGGCAGCAGCAGCAGCAGCAGCGGCTCAGTGCACATTCGTGACTGGGTGAGTGCAGAGCAGCTGCAGCAAGGTGCACCTGCACCCGCACCCGCTGCACATGCTTCACTGGCTGCTTTCACCAGTGCGTGCCTGTGAACAATTTTAACCTGACACACGCACCCATTGAGTTGATTATTGAGGTGCCTCAAGAATCAACTCACCTGCACCCGCACCCGCTACATGTGCTTCACTGACTGCTTTCACCAGTGCGTGTCCGTGAACAACTGAACCTGACACACACACCCGCCACGCCACGCCATGGCACCTGTGCGTTTGCGTCCATGGGTCTATACCAAGCACTCAAGCATCCTTTTCCTCTCGTTACTCCTATCCGCTGCCGAACACATCGAAAAACTCCCATCCCTGTGCATGCAGGCACATCACCTGGTATCGCGCAACATTACAGCCCAGCTTCGCGCCGCCCACCTGCCCTCAGCACCCGACGCCATCGTGCTGCCCATGGTGCGCCTCGCCCTCTCCTGCACCGCTTCCGACCCCCTCTCCCGCCCCACTGTCACCGACCTGCTCCGCTCCATCAAGGCTCTCAAGCGCTCCCTCTCCGCCCTCCCGCGCCCTGCCCTGCCGGCCAACGCAGGGGCGAGCAGGGATGCTAAGACCGCTGGTGCCTGCCGGTGGTGGAGGACTTGGGGAGCAGCAAGGGGGGGAGATTGGGGATGGGCCATCAGGGGGTTTCAGTCAGAATGCGCTAGATTCAAAGCTCAATTGGCTGATGGAAGTGGAAGATAGTGGTAGGTTTGTGACCGATGTGTAAAGACAGAGGAACCTGGTTTACCGCCACCTATAGGACCCGCCGGTAAGAGGGTCCCCCGGGACTCTTGAATGGGTAGGGGGACTCTTATTGTGGCAGGTTTTGTGAGGACCCCCCCTTTGTAGCTAATCATTATAAGACCCCCCCCCCTTTCCATATAAGGCCCTATTGAGTTTGGTGCAGTTAACATTGTTATCGTTGTTACCTACCGTACTACATACACATCTCAACACCTAGTGGTCACTACAACTACGGCTTGGTCATGTTAGATTCCATCAAGCACTTAGCGTTCGCGTCCTCCTCCTCAAGTGGGTCCAAAGGAGGAGTGGTGCGCCAGTCAACGAAGCCCGGGGGAAGCACAGGGGGCGCAGGTGGCGCCGGAGGCGCAGGGGGTGCCGGAGGTGCGGGAGGAGCTGGAGGAGCTGGCGGGGCCGGGCTTGTGATCAGTATGATTGCGGGCTGGCCAGACCCACTTCCTACCGCCATACTGCGAGAACGCCATGGGCTTTCGAAAGCCGACATGGCGAAGAGCTGATACAATCCTAACGACCTATGGTTCACTAAATGGCAGGCGCCATGGCGGGCTATTTAGATGGGTAGGAAGCTAGCCGGGCGGACAAGATCTGAAACAGAGGGAGGGAGGGGATGAAAGCTTGCGTGTACGGTAGAGTGAGGGACGTGAAACTCTAGTGCTTCACGTCCAGTACCCATTCTGCCACAGAGACATGATGGGGTGGTCAAGGGCCACCTGACGTGCCCATCTTAACGGAAACACCTGTGAAAACAAAGAACGAGAATGAAATGACTATGAACGAAGTGAGTACAAATAGGAAACCCTAATTGGGTTGTACCCCCTATTGGATACCCCACTATAGCCTACAGAAACAAGTAAGCTATATGTTCTGACACACCCCCATAGGCAAAGTGGGGGAGAACAAGGGGTCACAAGACCAGTCACGCAAAGCAAAGCAAAGCTCAGGGTGGATCACAAAGTCACCACGCATTCCGAGCACAAGTTCAAAGGCCACAAGGCCAGTTCACATGCAAGATCATATATAGAGATATACAAGAGCAAGAGTATATATATGCGAAAGTACAAGCAAGGTCAAGAGGAGAGCAAGTGAGGCAAGACAGGCACAAGACCCAACTGCGTGCAGCAACGCTGATGATCACAAGGCGCAAGCGCCTTGGTGAAGACATCAGCAGTGTTGGCCTCAGAGGCCACGTACGCAAGTCGCAGCTGTCCACGCTGCTGTAGCTCACGAGCAAGAAAGTAGCGAAGAGCAATGTGCTTCGTTCTGTGCTCCAGTCGCTGCTCTCGACACAAGGCCAGCATGGCCTTGTTGTCTACGTACAGGACTGGAGGAGAACGAGGCTGCTCTCCAAGGTCGGTCAGCAGGTAGGTGAGCCAGCGTAACTCCTGTGCAGCCATAGCCCCAGCGTAGATCTCAGCCTCACAACTGGAGCCGAGAACAGAAGACGAGCGGGTAGCCCGCCACGAGACAGAGCCGGAACCAAGGCTGAAGGTGTAACCCTGTGACGACCGCTGCGTAGCCTGGTCGTCAGCCCAAGAAGCGTCCGCGTGCCCAGTGAGGACCACTGGACTGCGCCCTCCAAGCACTAGCCCCATGCCCGACGTACTGCACAAGTAGCGCAACACCCTCTTCGCTGCAGCCATGTGCTCTGGTCGGTGTCTCCCAGGAGCAACAAAGCGTGCGAGAATGCTAAGAGGGTATGCGAGGTCAGGTCGTGTGCAGGTCATCAGGTACATGAGGCAGCCAACAAGCTCTGCAAACGGGCCACTCGACTCTACGGACTCATCCGAAGGCAGAGCTGAGAGCGAGTGGCGAGTAGGCAGAGGAGTGGCCTGAGGCGAGGAGTACGTGAAGCCGAAGCGCTGAAGGACCTGCTGCACCATGTGTGACTGAGTCAGGGTAATGGTGCGGCGTGCTCTGTCCCGGGTGATCTGCAAGCCAAGGTAGCTGCGCAGTTCACCCAGGTCAGTGCACGTGTGTCTCTTCTGCAGCTCGGACTTCACGTAGGCGAGTCCAGCAGTGTCAGCAGTGGCAAAGACCAAGTCGTCGACGTACACGAGGATGTAGAACGGCGGCAGAGAGGTGTCGGTGCGCAGAAACAGCGACGGGTCGGCAGTGGAAGGAGCAAACCCAAGTGCCGCGAGCGTAGTCCTCAGTGTGTCGTGCCACTCACGTGGCGCCTGGCGGAGACCGTAGACTGGACGCCGGAGACTCCACTGGGTACCAGGAGGGAAAGACCCAGTGAAGCCAGGTGGGCGACGCAGCCAGATCTCCTCGTGCAGGCTGCCCTGCAAGAAAGCAGTGCTGAAGTCGAGAGAGTGCAGCTCGTAGTCACGGTGAGCAGCAACGTGTAGCAGAACCCGAAGAGTGGTCATCTTCGGGGTGGGGGAGAAGGTCTGAAAGTAGTCAACCCCCTGCCGCTGACTGAAGCCACGAGCCACGTAACGCGCCTTGAAGACAGGCGGAGAACCCGGCGGCCGCTTCACCCTGAAAATCCACATGCCACTGACGATGTTCGCCCCAGGAGGGGGAACAGCGTCAACGTAGGTGCCTGTGGACTTCCAGGAAGCCATCTCTGCATCCATAGCTGCCTGCCACTGAGAGGAGTAGGGACCCTCTATCGCCTCCGCGTAAGAGCGCGGAGTCGGGATGTCTGGTGCATCCGGGTCTCCCTCAGGGGCTAGCAGTACAGACGCGAGACGAGGTGAAGCGGCGGCCAGACACTGGAACTCCTCCTGCCTGTCCTCAAGGACGTCCGTGCCAAGGGCACACTCACCCCCGACGGACGGAGGACAGGCGGACTCAGACTCAGTGACAAGACGAGCAGCGTAGTCTAGACGACAGCGCGCAGCAAAGTCGACAAGCTCAGTGACAAGGGCAGACGCAGTAGACGACTCGAAGGAGGGGTCAGTGACAGCCGTAGCCAGGAGACGCGTGACAGTAGGACTGGCAGCACGAAGAGCGTCCGACTCCGGGTCGGCAAGAGCAGGAAGAGAGGAAGCAGGAGGAGAAGGCAAAGGGGCACGCAGAGGAGCAGTGGACGGACGCAGTGACATCCGGTGCGTGCCAGGGACAGGAGGAGGACGCTGACGCGACCCGCGACCACTAGCGCGCTCAGTACGAACAGGCGACACAGGACGAGACGCAGGCTCACGACGCTCAGTAAGACCTCCAGTCGGACCAGCGTAGGGAGAAGGAGCAGGCAAAGGGGAGGCAGGCTGTAGCTGTGGCTGTGACCGGACAGGCTGCGGACCCTCTAAGGGAGGAGGAGGAGGTGTAAGACCAAGAACCTGCTGCAGGAGCGGAACGAAGTACGGTCGGGGCCGCGCGGCGACGCTAGAAACAGCAGGAACAGCACCAGCAGCCCCGGCAGGAGCACCCACTCCAGCAGCACCTCCAGCAGCACCACCAGAAGCTCCAGCACCTCCAGCCGCAGCACCAGGGGCACTGTCAGTCGGGCCGCCAACGGCAGGCTCAGCGCCAACACCCTCAGCAGGACCAGCTCCAGGAGAACTCTCAGACTCAGCAGCTCCAGCACCCACAGTACGAGCGCCGGCGGGGCGCGCAGCAGCAGTACCCTCTGCAGCCGAAGAACCACCAGCACCAGCAGCACGCCTCCAGCGCCCGGCAAACCACTCACGCAGCTCCTGTGGGGAGAGTGGCTCCCGGCGAGACGAAGCACCCCCAGGCACAGCACCTCCAGGCTCAGCACCCCTAGACACAGCACCCCCAGGCACGGCACCCCCAGGCTCAGCACCCCCAGGCTCAGCACCCCCAGGCCCAGCACCCCCAGGCTCAGCACCCCTAGACTCGGCACCTCCAGGCTCAGCACCCCCAGGCACAGCACCCCCAGGCTCAGCACCCCCAGGCTCAGCACCCCCAGACTCGGCACCTCCAGGCTCAGCTCCCGCAGCAGCACCAGAGTCACCAGTGACCTCGACAGGCTCGACCGCGTCTACCTGGGACACACCTGAAGGGGCAGGACCCTGAGGGGGGAGGGGGACTACCGGGGGGGGACCTGGTACCAAGAAGAGCGGGGGTGGGGGGAGGGACGGAGTGCGGTAGGGGAAGAGGCGGTAGTAGGGTACCGACTCGTCGAAAGTGACGTCCTGGGAGGACAGAACACGTCGAGAGGTGGGGTGGTAAAACTGCCACCCAGGGGCGTCGGGGGGGAACCCCAGGAAGACGCAGGGAGAAGCACGAGGGGACAGCTTGTCCGCAGACAGGTCGCGAACAAACGCCCGAGATCCCCAGACCCGGAACGCCGACGCATCGCCAACCTTCCCCGTCCACAGCAGGGCTGGGGAGGTCTCCGGTCGAGAGACCCTGGGGTGGAGGATGATCTGGTGCGCAGCGTACCTGACCGCAAACGGCCACAGAAAATGGGGAGCAGCCGCATGCATCATGGACGTACGAGCGACGTCCATGACGATGCCAATGCGGCGCTCAGCAATCCCATTCTGCTGCGGTGAGTCCGGAAGCGTGAAGGTCTGACGGATGCCTCGCGCACGACAGTAGGCACTCAGGAGGCCAGAGGAGAACTCTCCGCCTCTGTCCGAGTGCAGACGCAAAACAGGGAAGTCAGAGCCAAAGCTCCTCCGAAGCTGGAGACGAGCTGCGCGGATCCAGTCGATCAACACCGCAGTGACCTCACCCTTGCTGCGCAAGGGGAAGACTGTGGTGTAACGCGAGTAGTCGTCAACAACCAGCAGGAAGTAGCGCTCCTGACCCTGTCCACGGACGCGGGCTGGGCCCCACACATCCATGTGAAGCGTCTGCAACGGGGCCTCTGTCGGAGGAAACTGGGAGGAGTGAGGGGCAGCACGCTGGCGCCCCTCGACACAGGGGACACAGGTGGGGCCAGGGCCCGGAGGGAGGGAAGGGAGAGACCGGGGAAGACCAGACACAAGGACTCGCGAGGCCATGCCTCTGAGCCGAAGCAGAGAGGGGTGGCCAAGGCGGTGGTGCCAGAGGAGGGTCTCGTGAGACAGACGACGGCACGAGCAGGGGGCAGACTCAGGACCAGACCTGGACGCTGCAGCAAACACCTGACCAGACGAAGTGACCCTACCAGACTCAGCACCTGGAGGAGAAGCAGTGGTCAGAGTGTACAGGCTCGACCCTGGCCGACGTGTAAACGTAGCCAGGTGGCGACCTGTATCCGCCTCCGTGCAGTGGGTCACCCGCTGACGAGCAGGGGTGAACTGGTGGACACCCGCATCCTGGAGGTCAGCACCACTCACCAAGTTCGTCGAGAACGAGGGGAGGTAAAGACCAGTCAGGGTGCCAGAGGGGGCCGCCGGACACGGGAGGACAGTGGAGAAGCGAGACAGGACAGGCCCCCCAGAGGGGTCAGCCAGGGACACCGCAACCGGCCGACTCAGCGGCGTGAGAGTGGTGCGGTCCCG